TGTTTTAACAACTAAAAGGGATCTTATGTGATGCATGACGGTAAGCTAGGGTGTTAACACTCGATGCTAGGCCGCTGATTGTTATTAGATTGTTCATTTGATGAATATTATGGATTATTAAATGATTGTTGAACTAAGAATATGAATTGATGAATAATGTTGTTAAGGATATCTAGAAGAACTCTAAAGATATACCCACTTGTATAATGATGATGATTATTAAGGATATCTAGAAGAACTCTAAGATATACCTCCTTGACCAATTCATATTTCGGGGTTAAAACGTACGTACGGGATCCAGACCGGATATCACCCACCCGACAAATCATTGTTCGGTTGGTACGTAATCCACACGACTCATAGGGTGGATTATCGATTCTTGTGTTCTGCATTAAACTATTTATAGTTTAAGGGCTTGGTTAGAATTACTGCCTTAGACTAGAAATAGCTAAGAGCTTGTTATAAAATGATTATGAATAGCTAATAGCTAAGAGCGTGTAGTGTGTTTTGTTTACTACACGCAGGTAGACAAAATGAGTGAATGACATGTTCTTGGCAGCGGAAGGGCGAGACAGTCGTGGTGGATTTATTGAGAAAATAAATGATTATGATATTATGAATCATGTTTAAAAATCGTTTCCGCATTAAACACTCCGTATTTACTACAATTATGTTTAGAATTTCATTTATGATGAATAAAGTTATTTAAAATGTTTTAAATTATACGATTACCAAGTTAATACTTTAGTTCGGAAGGGGTTGTAAACCTGAACGGATTAGGGTGTTACGCAAATTTACCTTTCCACTCCCTCCCGTTATTCTGAAGGACACCACCGATGCATCTTTTGTCAATGACGTTTAGCAACTCGATCATGTCAACATCAAGTGTCCACTCACATTTTTGATCCATTTTCCATCTGAGCGAGCAATCCATTGAAATGGAAATATTGCTCACCATGTGCGGCCTCCTAAAAGAACTATTAATTTCTCTAACTTCTTCTTTGATCCAACCGAGATTCCGTCTATCTTCCAAGTATCCCCCCCACTAAAAGTAATAGTGTTTTGCCATTGTTGTATCTACGAGCAAGTGGTGGCAAAAGTGATGCCCAGTCACCGTCGATGTTGATGTTTCGCTCATGCGAAACCTTTGTGTAGATCGAGTTCATGACCTCATCATTGCTGATTGTGTTCCTGTTACCCCCATTGTCATTCCAAACACATGTCTAGCCTTGGTGCATGCCCTAAACATGTGGCCGATTGTCATATGAATCTTTTTTAAGTAGAAATTTGGTATAGTATACAAAAATAAGTAAATTTCCATTTGTATGTATTAGTAAATTTGATATTTTTTATTTTGTCATGTCTTATTTGTAAATGTGTAAAAAATAATATAGAATATTACTCTATAGATGAATATAGTAAACACACTTGATGAAAAAGTGTTTTCTAGTAGTGTATATATATTTATATAAAAATTATATTTCAAAGGATTAATATACTAATCTAGCCTTTCAAAAAAGATCATGTGGCGATGCACTCGTCTTGACATATATCTTTAACCTAAATTCAAAAACCAAAATGAGAGTAGCGGTCCAGCCCAAACTCGTCTTAAGAACAACGTTCATCTAATAATAAGATAAATATAATAAAATGTTTTTAGATCATTATGTTTTTATTTAATTAGTGTCCATAATTCATCTACTTTGACATTAAAAAAATCAAATTAGACAAATACGCTAGAACGAAAATAATACTTCCTCCGTCCCTAATCACTTTTTATTTCTCTCTCTTTTCGATAACTTTATTTCCATCATCTCCGATGGAGCCAAAATTTCACTATTTTTTGGCTTTGGGGTGTGATGGAATAAATCAAAATGGATCTCTAAACTATCTGCGCTTCTTTAATTAATGAAGTAGCAGTTAGTCAAGCAATGCAACATTCGACGTTGAGCCGGGGGTCTCTTTGGAAACAGCCTATCTACTTTCGAGTAGGGGCAAGGTCTGCATACACACACCCTCCTCAGACCCTACTCTTGTGGGATTTAACTGGTTTGTTGTTGTTGTTGTTTCCTCTCGATAACGTTTGTTTGTATACGCGATTTCATTAAATATATGATAAAATAAAATATTCTTGTCACCTCTTGTTTTGTAGAACTTTTGACGTAGTTTTTGAATATGTAATTTTTATATCTTATTGATATACCAATTTGTAAATAAAATAATTTCAAAAATAAGCAATTTTACTTCGTAATCCGCAATTTGTAATCAAATTGGGGAAGGAGGGAGTAATAATTTTATTCAAAAAAAATACTATTAATTTTAGTTCATATTCTAAGGAATGCTGTAATATTTCGAGTGTAGAAAATTTTCATTCTGATTTCAAGGAATGTTTATTTGTTCATCTTGATGAAGAAAATAACCCCGGAGTAGTATCTTTTTTTGAATAGTGGCAAAATGTCCATTTTAATTGGAAAATGCTAAAATCCCCACCCTTGCTACCACCCCTGCCCCCCCTACATAAACATGTGGTAGGGAGGCAAGAAAATTAAAATTAGAGGGTGAGTGGAGAATAGATAAAGATAAATATATGGTAGAGAAGTGGATGGAGAGAAGGGTGTGGTGTATAGCATGATCCATTTTAATTATCAGACCGCGGAAGTTGGGAACAAGCGCGAAATAAAAAATCTTTGAAACTTCTTTTTTTACCACGTGTCTATACACCATTCGAAGTTAGCCTTTCACGCGGATTGCAATCCGAGGCACAGAATCGCACTCAATCTGAACCGTCGAAACCTAAAATAATCAACGGTTGAAACTCGCCTCCGGAAAACCCTCCCAAATCCCCCCTCTATAAAAACAGTCTCCGAAGCCGAACCATTCTCACCGCCATTTCATAGAAACTCTGCCATTCCAAATACAACAGATTGTCCACGGTAATCGTTCCAATGGCTCGCACCAAGCAGACAGCCCGCAAGTCCACCGGAGGAAAGGCTCCGCGGAAGCAGCTGGCGACGAAGGCGGCGAGGAAGTCAGCTCCGGCGACGGGCGGAGTAAAGAAGCCGCACCGTTTCCGGCCGGGAACCGTCGCGCTGAGGGAGATCCGCAAGTACCAGAAGTCGACGGAGCTTCTGATCCGGAAGCTCCCGTTCCAGAGACTGGTGAGGGAGATCGCCCAGGATTTCAAGACGGATCTGAGGTTCCAGAGCAGCGCCGTGTCGGCGCTGCAGGAGGCGGCGGAGGCGTATCTCGTCGGACTGTTCGAGGACACGAATCTGTGCGCGATTCACGCAAAGAGGGTCACCATTATGCCCAAGGACATGCAGCTCGCCAGGAGGATTCGCGGGGAGAGGGCTTAATCTTCTGCTTTTTCCTCAAAATCATTTCCTGTTTTGCGTAATTTTATGAGCTGTAAATCCTAGGGTGGAACTTTGCTTTTACCTGATCGCCAATGAAAT